TGGGCATAATTAGCTTCATGATATAAGAGGAAGTTGTTATCTTATGATCATTATTGACAGATAGATTGCAATATGTATGAAGTCCGCAATAACTTGAGATTATAAATTGCCCATTAGATTTTTTCCTAACAGCCGCATTAAATTTTCATGGACACTTTGAATTTCTATCGTCTGATTGCCCATTAGATTTTTTCCTAACAGCCGCATTAAATTTTCATGGACACTTTGAATTTCTATCGTCTGCAGCACTTGTAATCTCTCCTTGACATTTCTCATTGAAGTAGCACTTTACATGGTAGCTAGTTGTACTGGTTTTAACCGGCTTGAATTTGATCCGGTTCTTGATTGCCTATTCACGTATAGCGAAAACTAAGCTTTCCTTATTCTCGAAAAGATCTCCTTTTTTGAAAGTGAAGTCATCGGGTCGATCGAAATTAGGACCAGGCTCAACAAACTCATCTTGTGAGGTATTTATCTACTCATCATTTTCAAACTCTTCTGGCAATGGTTCTTCAGACTTTATATAATTATGTTGTTTATGCAATATTCATCCATCCAACTTACGTCATTATTGGTCTCTCCAATTGCACACTGTATACTATCAAGACGTTCCTCCTCTTTAACAACTTCATTATCATCATCGACATCTACATCTACATCCTCTTCTATTATAGAACCAACCGGTAAATTAACTGAAACATGACTCGACGCGTTGTGGAACATGTCACTTGACATTGCACCCGAGTTATTATTTAAGTTCAAGGCACTTTGAGATAACGAGATTTGATTTTCAAGCATGCGGGAGAACTCTCCATGAGCATATGAAACTTCGGCAACCCCATACAGTGGAATATTTTTAATGAACAACTTGATTGATATTTTTTTTTTCGCAAGTCCGATCATGTCGTTTAATTCTTCATCATTGGTGATCTCTAGGCAATTGTTCTATTTTCATTTATTGGACAATTATAGAAGACTTTAATAGCATTTTCAACATGATTAATTCCAGTAACTCTGTATATTTGCTCCATCATTCTATCAAAATTGTAATTTCTGGATAACAAGAAAATTTTTCTAGAGACCCCATCATATATAGGCATATTATTTATTCCAACATGTAATTTTTCATTGAATAAGCAAATAATCGGTATTCCATTCGCCATTTTAACTGAAGAATTAAAATTCATCATATACAAATTAGATTTTTTTTCCATATTGATAATCATAATTAAAATATTTCCTCTAGATTTACAATATTAACTAAACAATATTGTTGGGAGATAAGGGGCATGAGTTGGTTTTATCAAATTCAATCTCTATATTAACTGATTTGAATTTTAATCATGGTTAGAGAATGATGACTTCTTCGGGTCTGAAGTTTGATATTCCATTATTCAACGGTAAGATAAATCTGATGGCAGATAAGGGGCATGAGTTGGTTGGTGTGCAAACTAGAGGAGGACAATATCATATTAGGTGGAGCTTGCAAGCGGGCATGACCGAGTGACACACAGGGAGATGGAGATTGTGACATTGGACTTGAAGACGATGAGCGCTCATATTCAGTCCAAGGTAAGTGATGGAGGAGATAGAGACATCAAGCTCATAGTGTGGAGTAGGAGAGATGCACCAATGTGATTCGAGACGAGCGATGCAGTAGAGAACAATGACAACAAGTAGAGGGTGGCTATTGTTAGTCTCAAATTAGGAGGATAAGCATGATTGATTTGCTATTATTGTCAGAGTTGGCGAAGATCTCTTGGTGCACATAAGAGAGGTGGAGGCGCCACGGTGAAGTAGATGATAGTGAGGGTCACGAGACAACTAGTTGGTGTGCAGGTGTTCTGATTAGGAGTGTGGTTGGTTCGATTTGAAGTGCGAAAGAAATAGAAGACTCTAGCGGCAGAGGCAAAGTTTCAAGATGACGATAATACCTTCAAGAGAGTTTGAGAGTCAAATCCAAGGTGGAGATTGTTGGGATTGTGTCTTTGATTCTTTGTAGAACTTCATGAGACTTAGATAGGGTTAGAGATCTATTATCATTAGGAGTTTGAGTTCCATCACGATTAGAAGTTTGAATCGTATTCTAATTAGGAAGTTAGGCTAGAGATAGGGTTTTGATTTCCCTATATATATTCTTCTATTGTTGGAGGAAAAACTAAGAAGAAGAAGAAGAGAGTAGAGGGAAGATGTAGTGGTAGAGAGAGCCAATATTCTTGTAATCTAGGGTTAGCAGAGGGCGTAACCTGATTCAATAATATTATGCGAGAGGCGAGGGTTTCTTGATCTTTATCCGTGCAAAAGATTACAAGGAGTGGATTTTGGAGAGAATATGAAAGTTGATTATATATAAAAGGATTGAGAGATTGAGAGACGAGAGTTGAGTGGTTCCTCTTATAGTTCTCCCTAATACATAATGAATTTCTCATATTGTTGTCCCGTGAACGTAGGTCGAAATTGGTCGAACGAACCACGTAAATCTCGGTGTTCTTTTTTTCTTGATTGTGATAGTTTTATATATTGTTGATTGTGGGTTAGCTTCGGAGTTGCGCATATTGTAATAGGCGAGGAGAGTGAAATTCTCCAACAAAAAAGACAGTTTGGAGCACACTCGACAGGGCCTCATCATTCGACAATTGGATGCAATAGTGAGTGAGATATTTTCTCAAAGGCAAAAACTCAGGAGCTCCAAGGTTCTGGGCAAAGGAATTTTGGGTTCAGGGATGAAGAACGATCCGCAAATCTTGAGCTCAGAAGACAGGAAGCGTTCTCATCAAAATCCAACTCCTGTAACTGTAAGCAGATTCCCTCGATTTCACCCTCAAATTACTAAAAATCTGGTAGAAATCACACCAAATCCAACAAAGAAACCCTCTGCCCGCGAAACCCATCTCCAATCTTCTCCAGTCTCTCCAAATTCAACTCAGATTTCTTCTTCCAAGAAAACCCAACAAAGGTGTCCGACGAAATGCCAGCCGTTGAGATCCATCAAGAACCTGCAGGGGTCTTTGAGGTATTCGCGGAGGAAGAAGAAGATGAAGAAACCACAATCTTCTCGTCTCCACCGAAAGTCAAAGCTCAAGAATCCGCCACGGCCAATCTCAAGCAAGAGAAAGTCAAAGCTCAAGAAGCCACCGTGGCCAATCTCAAGCAAGAAGAAGAAGTTTTTTAAGAAGACAAAGTTGAATGCCTTGAACGGATCGCCAAAGGCCCAGGTTATTTCAGCAGTGCCTCCTGAGGGAATCTCGAGGGCAGAGCTCGAGGAAAAGGTTGGTGGTCTTATGGCATACGCTGATGCTAGTTCAAATCCTCTTGTTGAGTCACCTCAGGTTCCTGCCAGGAAAAAGATTGTGGTGGGAAGAACTGGAACTGAAACTACCCTGTTTGTATCATCAGGTGCAATGGGGCAGGTATTGTGTTGTTTGAAGGTGGACCAATCAACTGTTGCAACCAGAGAAACTTTTGGAAAGTTTGATGATGTTCTTGAGCCTGGATGCCATTTCTTGCCATGGATTTTTGGCCAACAAATAGCTGAATATCTGTCTTTACGTGTCTAACAACTTGTTGTCCGCTGTGAAACGAAGACAAAGAATAATGTGTTTGTTATTGTTGTTG